GAAAGCAGCCCTGAGGAGAAGGAATTGGTGTTGATTGATGAAAAGCCCAATGTGAGCCAGTAATGTGTGCTTGGAGCCCAGAAAGCCAACCGTGCCCTGGGCCGCAACAAAAGAAACGTGACCAGCAGGTCGAGGGAGGTGATTGGTTCTCCCCCTCTACTCTACTCTCGTGAGACCCTATCTGGAGTACTGCATTCATTTAGCTCTGGGGCCCCCAGCATAAGAAGGACATGGAGCTGCTGGAGCGAGACCACAGGAGGGCCACAAAGATGGTCAGAGGGCTGGAGCACATCTCTTGTGAGGACAGGCTGAAAGAGTTGAGGTTGTTCAGCCTGGAGAAGAGAAGGTTCTGGGGAGAAATTATTGCAGCTTTGAATACCTGAAAGGGGCCTAAAAGAAAGCTGGAGAGGGACTGTTCATAAGGGCAAGTAGTGATAGGACAAAGGGCAATGTCTTTAAGAAAGAAGGTAGATTTAGATTAGCTATTAGGAAGAAATTCTTTACTGTGAGGGTGGTGAGGCACTGGCACAGGTTGCCCGGAGAAGCTGTGGCTGCCCCCTCCCTGGAAGTGTTCAAGGCCAGGTTGGATGGGGCTTTGGGCAACCTGGTCTAGTGGAGGGTGTCCCTGCCCATGGCAGGGGGTTTGGAACTAGATGATCTTTGAGGTCCCTTCCAACCCATTCTATGATTCTATGAAAAATTCACAATTAGTTGAACATTTATTTTTCGTCTTCTGATTTTGTATAATGAACGTATGTATCAAGACCATACAGATATAATATATTTTTAGTTTTCTCTGTTAGCACTATATTTGCCATAGAGATACTGTAGAAAATAAAGTTTGAAGATTTTGTATTAAATTTTTTTAAGAAAGAAAAGTTCAAATAATAGAAACTAGTATAGAATGTGCTCCCAAATGAGTCACATACTTAAATTTGCTCAATGCTAAACATGTTGGCTGTGAGTGGCCCAATCGGTGCATTCAAAACTTAGTAAGTTTGTGAACTGAAGATTGTCAGGCTTCTGAGATTATAAAAAAATGAAAGAAACTAAGAAACCAACTAAATAACGGATAGGATAGGATAAGACAAGACAAGATAAGATGAGAGTAATTGGTTCAAAAAGGGAGGCAATATCTGTGTAAGCTTCCCCAGATCGAAAAAAAATTAAGCTTCAAAATGCAGGTAGCAGTCTTCCTAGTGGAATGCAATTTGTTCGGTGTGGTTTAGTGTGACATGTGTGAGTATCTACATGTAAGACATGTTTTGTATGTGCTGCTGCAAACAACATAAATCTTGGGAAAGGAGAACATCCTGATTGCTAGGAGGAATCTAGTCTCTTAGATCACCCTTTGAGCCTAACAGTCCAGCCAATTTCCTAGCCACTTTGTCTACTTTTCAATTCAGATCTCAACTATTTGGCATTAAGGAGGTAGGAGACCATCTCAAATACCCTGCAAAATTCAAGGTATAGTTTACTGTTTGCTCTCCCTTTGTTTTTACAGTCAATCATCTCCTTACAGAGGTGGTCAGGTTGGTAAAGCAAGACTTTTCCTTGGTAAATCCACGCTAGCATTTTCTAATCACCTTCTTGTCCATTAGGTGGCTGGACATGATTTCCGGGATGATTTGTTCTGTAACTTTTCTAAGAGATGAGGCCTCTATTTCCCCACATCTCATCCTCTATAAAGATGGGTTCATGTGATGTTTGTGCTTTTTTCTTTTTTTAAATTAGTTTTAAATGGTAGCAGAAGACAGTGGACCAAATGAATTGGCCTGGGGATATTCACTTTCCAGAAATGGAACCACATAAAAATGAAGCAACTAGTCAAAAACCGTCCAACTCCCCAAACCCTAGAACAAACTGTACAGAAAGCCTACAAACAGTTGGAGACTGTTGAGAAAGGTATTGTAGCTGAAACCCAGCTGAAATATGTGCTACAATTTAAAAAATGAAATTTAAAAAAAACCCTAAACCAACCTCCACTCCAAAGTAGTCTTTAAAAGCTCCCTATAAAGACTCAGTGGGGAAGCGTTTGTGGCCCTCTCACAGAAAAGGTCAGCATTTAAAACTTAAGCTTGCGTTGATGAGGCCAATAAATAATGGTGGGACAAATGGAAGTGGAAAGTTGAGAAGGCTAAAAAGGCTCTTGAAGAGTGGTTTTTAAAGATGCTTAAGCTTTGATAGTAAAGTTTTGCTTAAATAAAGTGAAAAAGAAGCCAGTTAGGCAATTTGTAGGTTTGCTTAGTGATAACAGCATAAAACGATACACTGGGTTTACAAGACCATAAAAGAACAGCTCAGTGAATCTTTGCATCAACCTTCCCTGCTGAAGATGCTAAGAAGATGCCAACAACTCACGTTCTTTGTAGCAGATAGATCAAAGGTGTTAGATCTGTTTGAATTAACTGTACAGCAGTCATGAGGTCAAAGAGATAAGTTATTTGTTAATACCTTGATGTTAATATTTTCACACCCCAAGGGCTGTGAAGAAACTGAAATATGAAATTGCTGAACTGTAACGTCATTGTAAACAGCCACCATGCCAGTGGACTGGCAGGTTGCCACTGTAACTCCCATCTAGAAAATGGGCTCCAGAGGGAGTTGCAGACCAGTGAGCCTGACGGCTTCCATACTTGGGAAGATGGCAGTCAGTCTTTAGGAAAAAGGCGGCGGAGGGGGGGGAACCCCAAAAACACCAACAAAACATTGAGAGGGACA